GCTCATTTCAAAATGTAATGAACTTAAGAATTATTAATGACATTCTTCTGTACTGTCTTCAGAATCCATTGTGAACAAGACTTCTCAGTTCAGACCAACCACATTTGGGGAGATCAGTTGCCCACATTTGGCTAATGGCTATCAATTGAATATCTATCTAAGGCATTTAAGATCAAACTTCATTTGTCTCCTATCCAGCTTTTGAATAATCTTGCTGACTCCAATCTTACCCTGTGTGCGTGTGCTGTTAAATCTCTCTTCTGCCACTCTGCTCCTTACTTTCTGCTGTGAATTCTTCTAGGCCACGAGCATCAGGTTAGACATGACTGAAACTGTATTCCCCTTTCCTCTGATTTACTTCTGAACTGTCAATAGCTACCCTCACTTCTTCCTATTAGTCTAATATATAGTCCTTTCTTTTTTCTAATTCAACATTTAAATCACTGATTCAGCTATTGGTCATATCCTCTTGGACTTCCTAACACATTACTTGCTTATGCCAGAACTGTATTCTAAGCATTGCTTTAAAACTGAGATTCAAACTGAGATCTGAGATCAAAGCCAGCCCAGGCAGGAAAGTCTGTGAGACTCTTAACTCCAATTAACCACCCAAAAACCAGAAGTGGAGCTGTGGCTCAAATGCTAGAGTACTAGCTGTGAGCAAAAGAAAGCTAAGGGACAGCTCTCAGGCCCCGAGTTCAAGCCCTAGGACCTGCACACACACACACACACACACACACACAATTTAAGCATTTATGAAAGACTACTGCAGACCTCATTTCCAAATTCAGATATATGTCAAAATATACATAAAAATGACCAATCAATAAAGATATATTACACCTATCCTAATGCACAATTTATGTTTTCTTTGTAAGAAATGCTTAAAAATGTTCCCTGAGAAACACAAATTGCCATGCTTTAAACAGGAAAGAAAATCAGTGGTCAATATAGTACTATATGATGGAAGCCAGGTAGACCGTGAGGCTAGGTGCCTCCACATTCCCTTTTCTAAAATCAGTCACAAAGTTCTTAACTCTGGATTGCATAACAAAATCCCTGAGAAGTTTGGGGGAAAGGGCATACCCGTACCTGAGCCACCCAGCAGACCAAGTTATGTATTACCTTCTACTAAGGTTTTTCATATTATAAATACTGCAAACCCATCCATATTTCTGACCTCAATTGGAATCACCTGGGAAGGGAAGGCTTTTCTAAAACTACACTAGTCCTAGAAGCTCAGCTCTATGGCCTGCAAGCAATAGTTTATCTCTATATATTAAAGTTTACAAAAAATTAAAACAAGCATTCTCATTTGAACCTTCTAGTACCATTTAAAGTGATGCAAAAAGGTGACAGTGCTTCTGCTTTACTGATGAACAAACATGCGAGGATTCATTTCAGTAGCAGAAAAGAGACTAAGCACCTACCGTTTCTAATACTGTTACTGTAGGTTGGAAGCAAAATAATGTAGTCTAGGTGATGTGTGAGCTTTGGAATGAGGCAGAGCTAGGCAGAAACTCAGTTCCTTTGTAAGTGTTGTGACTCTGAATGCCTTATTTACCTGCTTTCAATTTCTGTTTTCTCATCTGCACAGTGCAGAAAATGGCACCTTTCTCCGTGAGGTTGTTGAGTGAATTCTTAAAATATGTGTAGCACATCTTCGTTGAAAAGATAAGAAGAAAAAAATCCTAAGAAAATAAGAATTAAGCATATGGAACGCATACTGAGGTTGGGATTGGATTCTAATTAATAAGTTGAACACTGATGGAATTTTGAGCTGATGGTGTTGCCTAGCAACCCAAAAGTAACTCAGTACTATTGGCTACCAGAGTTGTTGTTAATCACAGCAGTAATTAAACTGCTCTTAAGCTCAAGGTTGTAGACAGACAAAAGGATTCCCTGAGAATTTAGAGTTGTGTCAGATACTTAGAAAAAGTGAAGCCCCGTTCCTCAGTTTATTTGTGCTGAGATATCTTGGAAACTGGCCCACGTCTGTGCCCTATGGAACACAAGTTGGTAGAGCATCTCATGTTGGAGGTGAAGTGCACTCCCAACGTATCCAATCAACATTCATTGAACTTAAAGACAAAAAACATTTGTCTTTGCCCCTGCTGCCCTTTAGAATTCAGAGTCTAGGAGAAGAATCAATACTAAATAAAAATACAGCAAAATCTTTCATGAGCCCTGTCTATGTCTCCAGCATTATTCTAAGCATGATGGATTGAGCAGAACAAGCAGGGGCAGCAGCTCTTCAGTAGCTGCTGTAGGGTTTTTTATTTTCCTGGCAAGCCTATCCAGGAAGAATATTCCATTTTGGTTTCCCAACACATTCATACTTCTTGATTCATAGCCTCAAAGGCAGCTTCGCCTGTTGGCAAGGGATGATGCTGGGCCGTGAGGCCATGCATTCCCACTAACTTGCCTCTTTTTTACCTGAAATCAGGGACTTCATTGCCCTGTGCCTTGCTTTTCTCATTTGTAACCTGGACAGGAAGATTTAGATTCTGCCTCCCTTCAGGCAGTGGAGTGTCAAATGTATAGAAGCGCTGAGCAGATAAACACTATTTCTGAACTCATCTTCATCAATTTGCCACCAGGTTTATATTGCCTTTCATTCAGTATTCTCATGCCATTAAAACCCACTGTCTGAAAATTTAAAATGAAAAAAAATTAGAGTATGAGCGTGGAAATCTTGTGCTTGCACTGAATCTTGTCTCTATCCTTTGTAGCTCAGTGTGCTCCTTTGGCAGGGAAGAAATCCATTGCACTCCTCAGGCATTTCAGCATTAACTTACGCACAAACTTGACTTACAGCGTGAGTGCCTTTAAGGCAGGCAGCTGGTCCATGAATCATGTCCAACATTCATGCAGTGTGGCTGGTGTCTATCAGAGGATGGCTTCTGCCCATCACCTGCCCCTGTCAGTTCTTCCTCTTCGAATAACATACATCTGTTTTGGTGACTGAATAAAAACACAGCTAGTAGAGAAAAGCTGGGTGGGGAGTAATTTAATCAGAGCAGGTCAGCACACTTGAGCAATACAGTGTCAAGGATAGAAAGATGGCCTGGTCATAGCTTAATGAAATAGAAGTAGACAGGAAAGGGCTAGAAGCACAGTTGCTCTGTGCTCACAGTTCTGGAATGTAGCGGCCCTAATATATCTCTCAAATCTCAAAACAACCATTTTAAGGTGACAAGAGTCCTGTTGGCTTGCTTCTGAGTTCCCACAGACAATTTTACACAGCCTTTCTCAACTAGCATCATTTTTACATTTTGTTGAAGATTATAAATATTTAAGGCAGTTCAAACCAAAGTTCAAAGCCCTATTAGCAATTCCTTTCAATATTGGCTTGCATGTCTCTGTCTGGTATCCTGATCTGAAATATCATCGTTTTAAAAGTCAGCATGGAGACTGGCAATGAAAGGCTGGTAATCACAATTATCACTGCTAATTACATGTTTTTGACAAGTTCTTCTTCATGCAATAGTCTAGAGCCATGCGATTTTACATTTTGTTTAGAAAGGAAAAAAATTGGACAACACCCATTCTCTCACAGTTTTTCCCTTCCCTTTGTCCAAAAGAAAATGTTCTCTTTGCCTGACTTATGTTAACTGTAAACCTTTCTGTTTAATAAAGACTTTCTTTAATTTTAAAAAAAGGAAGTGTATTTTTTCTTCCTTTGGGACAAGATCTGTGATACCTGATACTTTATTAACAGATGTTCTGGAAAGCACCTACTTCAAAAATAAAACACTAAATATAGCATACACATTCAAAGCTTCTGAATGTTGCTATGGCTATATTTGTAATCCTGACTAGTCAGGAGGCTGAGATCTGAGGATCACAGTTTGAATTCAGCCAGGGCAGAAAAGTCCCCATGAGACTCATCTCCAATAAACAACTCAAAAAAAAGCTGAAGTGGCGCTGTGGCTCAAGTGGTAAAGCACTGGTCTTGAGCACAAAGAGGCTCAGGGAGTGTGTCTAGGCCCTGAGTTCAAGCCCCAGGACTGACAAAATAATAATAACAGCAACAATAACCTCATGAATCTATTGAAATCAGTATTTTTAGGGAACCTGTTGGTAAACACTACATGTATCCTGGAACTCTGCCATCACAGCTAATTCACTTCTGACTCAGATCACATATTAGCATTTGCACCATATGGCTGAAAGGGTGGAAGAATATATGTGCAGAGAAACAGAGTCAGTAACATTTTTGACCATCTGGTAAATAAATGTAGAAGTAACAGGACTCTTCATATTTATTTATTGTATAGATGCAACCTTTAATCTGAAAGAGCCACCAATACAGCCACATAAAACTGTACTCCATTTACATTTTCCTCACATGATTTCTTTCACAGTCTGTGTTCTTCAGATCTGACCCCCTTTTTTCTTTATGTTTACTGATTGGGTAGAACTCCCTGCAGTACTAAGTTTAAAATACCCTTCATGAGAAGTCACAGGACTGAATTGGCACATGGCTACCAATGCAGAAGTTCTGTCCTGCCACTAATCTTTGTGTAGCTTTGGATAAATGACTGGCCTCTCAGAGTCTCAAACTCTTCATGTGTAGAATGAATAACATATCCTCTAGATTTCCCCTCCAAGGGTAGGCCGTGGAGGACCACAGACTCATACATCAGAATTACAGGGGAAGTTTGTTCAAAATATACCCGGGCTCCATCTTCAGCAACTCTGATACAATAGGCCTGGAAATGGTCTGTGAATCTGCATTTCCTATCATTGTTGCAAGAGGTCAGCAATCACACTGAATCACTGCTGTGCAGTCCAACTAGTTGTAGACCACTTAGATTCTCCACATGCTTTTAGATGATAAAAATGTAACTAAACGGCAGCATTTGTGCTTAAAATACTCCAACTTTATAGAAATACATGGTCAACATCCATTAACTAATGTTGATTCATTAATTATAGTACCTTTTTTGCTTTTGTTTTTGGTTAATTAGACCCTTTATCCTTTTCCCCTTGCACAGGGAGTAGCAAAGTATCTACGGACTATTTAAATCAGAATCCGGATGAACCTGAAGAAACTAGCATGCAAGTCTGAGGTTTTCACCTTCCAGACCCACAAATCTCTTAATCTCTCACTGACAGCTCCAATGTCTGCTGGGTTTTGTGAAGACAGCAAACCTTGAATGATGAAAAAGCAGAGAATTTAAGCACTTGTTTCCATATCATCTCACATCAATCGGAAAGTGAAGCAGACAGTGGGAGAGCCATGGAAAAGAATTTGAGTTTATGGAAGAACCTGATAGATGAGCACCCAGTCTGCACAAGCTGGAAGCAAGAGGCCGAAGGAGCCATATATCACCTTGCCAGTATTTTATTTGTAGTAGGTTTCATGGGTGGCAGTGGATTCTTCGGGCTCCTTTATGTCTTCAGTTTGCTGGGGCTGGGTTTCCTCTGCTCTGCAGTCTGGGCATGGGTAGATGTCTGTGCTGCCGACATATTTTCCTGGAACTTCATACTTTTTGTCATCTGCTTCATGCAGTTCGTTCACATTGCATATCAAGTGCACAGTGTAACCTTTGCCCGGGAATTTCAGGTGTTGTACAGCTCCCTTTTCCAGCCCTTAGGGATCTCTTTGCCTGTCTTCAGAACAATTGCTTTGAACTCCGAAGTGGTTACTTTGGAAAAAGAGCACTGTTACGCCATGCAGGGGAAAACTTCCATTGATAAACTCTCCCTGCTTATTTCAGGAAGGTTTGTACCCTTGGTGCCTGCATGTCTTTCCTCTATATCCACTGTGTGTGTTTCTTTGCATCATATTTTTCCACCTTGGTGCAGGGTCGTACTGGGTGGCATTTACCATCCTGAACCTTGGGAAAGTCTTTGAGACATTAGCAGTAAATAGGATCATGTAGAAGACGGGGTATTATTTACTTAAAGTAGGAAATAATCTAGAGCCATACTCCTTTGTCTTAGAGAATAAAGGATGTGGATCTTCAAACCAAAGGATGAGCCAGGTGCCAGTGGCTCACTCCTGTATTCCTAGCTACACAGGAGGCTGAGAGCTGAGCATTGCGGCTCAAAGCCAGTCTGGGCAGGAAAGTCCGGGAGACTCTTATCTACAATTAGCCACCAAGAAACTAGAAGTGGCACTGTGGCTCAAAGTGATAGAGCACTATCCTTGAGCATAAAAGCTTAGCACCCAGATCTGAGCTCAAGCCCAACTGACAAAAACAAGGGCACAAAAAATGAAGTATGAATTTACTAATCTGAGTATGACATTTGTTTCCTAACTTATCACTGAGAGTCAAGAAGAGGACTATGCCTGCTTGCATCGAGTAACTTACATTGGCACATGAAGAATTTTAAATAGACTCTTCAATGGGGCTTTCTTTAAGTAGCAGAGAACTTTTCATTTTAATCATTACCAAGTTTGTCAGTAAATTCTTAGCAACTTCCCACTTGTTAGAAGTGGGAAGGAGAATATTTGTAGATAGGAGGCTGAGATCTGGGAGAACAAAATTCAAAACCAGCCTGAGCAGAAAAGACTGGAGGTGTGATTCAAGTGGAAGAACACCAGCTGTGAGCAAGAAAGCCAAGCAAGATCTTGAAGTTCCAAGTTCAAGACTCAGTGTTTGAAAACACACACACACACACACACACACACACACACAGCATATATTTAGAATTCATCTAAATTCTGAAAAGTAGAGGGAGGAAGGAATAGTACGCCTTTTATGTTTTTAAAAAGATGAAAACCTTAGTTTACAGATATATTTATAGCAGATCCTTTATGTTCCTACATATTCCTACTTAATTGCAAATTTTAATAGAGCATATTTAAACTTTTAAAATTGAAGTACAATCCACACCCATAAGTAGGCATTCATTATTAACATGCCACTTGATGAGTTATCTGGAAAAAAAAAAGTGAATTTCATTCAAGAGTCCAGATTCCTGAATGGGAGCTGGCTGCTGGTAGCCCACTCCTGTAATCCTAGCTACTCAGGAAGCTAAGAGCTGAAGATCCAGTTTGAAGGCAGCCTGGGTTGGCTATGATACTCTTTATCTCATGGCCAGTTTGTGAGACTCTGATCTCCAATGGTAGAGCACTAGCCTTAAGCAAAATAGCTCACAGACAGAGAGTATGTACTAATCTCACAGGATGTTATGTTAACTTATTGTCTATGGATCTAGTCTACGAATCTAGTAATTTGCCCATCACAAATTTAGGGGAGAGAAAAATCAGCAGAGATCTGAAATATATTTCCCCATCTCCTTCCCACTAGTCATGATCTGTTTTCTCCTTGACTCCTAACTGATGTTCTTGTGTTTGGCAGGGTCAGGGTGACAGTGGATGGTGAATTTCTGCATTACATTTTCCCCTTTCAGTTTCTGGATTCTCCTGAGTGGGACTCACTGAGACCCACAGAGGAAGGCATTTTTCAGGTAAGGGATAAGTAGACTGCATGTTTCATACTTCCTCTTCCAAATGGATAATTAGGATTTGCGCTAAAAACAAACAAACCAATAGAACAACAGCAAATACAAGAGTAACTTACTTTAACTTTGGAATTTATTTTGCAGTGCTGGTACAGAAACAAAGATGTCCATGATAAAGATTCTTGAGATTTCCTATGCATAACCTCATATTTGAGGATTAAATGTAATTAATTTAGATTTGACTATAAACTAAACACTGCCAACAGTTTAGAAGACACCAAGAACTAAAAAGAGCATTTGTTACTAAATAAATGATGCTTTTAATTTAAAATACTGATGACATTTAGTTATTTTCTAGCAATGGGGTGACAACTGTCACTTCTCTGATAGCTTTGAAAAATAATCATTTCAGTAGGTTCCATTTATCATACTAGACTGTTTTCCTATGAATTAATACATAAAGTACTCATCTGTATGTAAATAAGGTTTATATACATATGCAAATTATGCATTTGATTTCTCTTTTATACTAGAGAAATAGGGTTAAGTGTTTGCAGCCTTTAGAACTAACTTAAATATATGTCTAAAATGTTAATTTGTTTTCTGCTTTTAATATCAAGAGCTTTTCCTTCAGCAAAATGTGAATCATAAGTTCATACCAGAAAAAAAGATAAGCTGGAGATAGGTACAACATTATGATCATTCATTTTATAAATTATTTGTAGTGATAAAAGTAGTTTTTCTACTTCACACTATATTATAAATCAACTGGAGTTTTTACAAAGAAAGCAAATGAAATTCATTTAAAATTTAGACCAGAAAAAATGTGACTGAATATCTTGCTTCCTCATTGTTTTCTATGTGGTCTTACCTTTTTTTCAGGTAACCCTCACAGCAGAAACTGATTGTCGATATGTATCTTGGAGGAGAAAGAAATTATATTTGCTCTTTGCTCAACATCGTTACATTTCCCGCTTGTTTTCAGTTTTAATTGGCAGTGACATTGCAGATAAACTCTATGCCCTGAATGACAGGGTATACACAGGAAAAAGTTATCACTATGATATTCGATTACCCAACTACTATCATATGTCAAGTCCAGAAATGCCCAGATCACCTCTGACAGAACAGTTTCGGAATTCCAGACGATACTGTGATAACTGACGTCAAAATATGAAGTTTTATAACTATTAAAAGTATCTTCGTCATTCCCCAAAATGAAATAGCAAAATATAAAAAGTTGAGTTCACTAATATTTTTGTAACTCAGATTCAGAGGAATGATGCCATTGCCAGTTATTTTTATTCATCTCAACTACTGCGTTGCAAATAAATTTTACAATTTTTCTTGTATATATTTATTTATTTACTGTATTTACAATTGGGAAGGGGGAGTGAATGATGATGGACAGCTTGCCTCAGAATTTGGAGAATGTGACTTTTTCAAAGGTTTTTATTCAGATTTTCTCCCATGTTTTGTCTTGCCCTGTTGACTTTGAGGCCAGATGTTGCTTTTCTGCTACAACCTCTGATGAAAGCCAGGCATGATTACTCTTTTTACCTATGAAGTTATTAAGTAAGACTAAAAACTAGAATAAATGTATGAAACAATCATATGCCAATCTGGAAAACTATTTTCTTGCTACAAATAATTTCTCAGACTTAATCTTTACCATTTAAAAAGACATTTTCACAGGAAGCACAACAATTGCTGAGTAAAAAGAATGTCCATAAACAACGAATGGAAATGTTTTACAGCATTTCAATTTCACAGGCTAAAAAGGCCAGGATTTGCCTGGGCAGGGAATGCCTCACAGTGAATGCTCAGCCCACCACCTACAGGACCCTGCTTGATACCATTACTATAGTCTTGTAAATAAGAAAAGCACAGATCCTTAGTTGCAGATCTGAGCCCTTCTTAGCTTGGGAAAATTGGTTTCCTAAGGATCACATGTAGTCTGTGTTCTTTGTAGAAAAATGTATTATGCATTTGCAGATGAGTATTGTGCTCCTTCTGCGATTCTGAGGGCTATGACAGAAACAGACACCTGTGTTTTCCCCCAATATTAGAATGTACTAAATGACAACAGACTCACAAGCTATGTCAATTTCATTGGTGTTCATTGGCCCAGTACTACTGAGGCTACTTGATAGCCTAGGCTAATAGGCAATATTAGTCTATATTCCTATGTTAACTGTCCACCACATATTAAACTTCACAACCACGGGTACAGGATAGCTAGGAGGGTCAAGTTATAGGGATGGCAGGGTTTAGGGAGGTCTTGCTTAAGGCCAGAGCAGAGAAGTACAGGAGCAAAGAGAGTCATTGTTGGTAATAGTAAAGAGCCCAGCCCCACAGCACAGGTGCAAAGCTGGTTGAAGGGTAGAGCTGATTTCAGGCAGTATTATCTTGGGCAGGATATGGAGCTGAACTAGATCTTCAGGGACAGAGCTGGGAATCCATCACTCTTAGAGAGCTGCTGCATACAGAATAACAAGATGGTCTGGTGGACGCATCAGCATCCATCACTGCAGTATCTTGGTGCAAGGAGTCCCTTCTTTGATGTAACTTAGGTGAGAGAATTTGTGTCTGTCAATCCTGGGTCTGGTATCTTCAAAAAGTTTATGCCTACTGTTTCTGATATGACTTGATACATTTGCTGATGTAATTGTTTATTGGCACAAATAAAGTATTATCAGTTTGTGCTTTGTGGTTTTCTGACAGATGGTGGTTGTTTACTTGCCTAAACAAGATGTAAAGTCATTCTTGTTTTGGTAGTTATCATCAGAGTGGAATGGCTTAGGTTAAAACTGTTGCTTTCCAAAATAGAGTAGGTCAGGGCTTAACACAATCTTTTTTTTTTTTTGCCAGTCCTGGAGCTTGAACTCTGGGCATGGTCTCTGTCCCTGAGCTTCTTTTGCTCAAGGCTAGCACTCTACCTCTTGAGCCACAGAACCACTTCCAGCTTTTTTTTTTTTTTTGAGTACTTTATTGGAGATAAAAGTTTCAGGAACTTTCCTGTCCAAGCTGCCTTCAAACTGCTATCCTCAGATATCAGCCTCCTGAGTAGCTAGACGTGAACCACCAGTGACCGGCCTTAGCACAGTCTTTTTAAAAATTTTTGGGTCTGGTCATGGGGCCTGAACTCTGGGTCTGGGCGCTGTCCCTCAGCTCTTCAGCTCAAGGCTAGTGCTCTACTTCTTGAGCCACAGCACCACTTCCGGCTTTTTTTTTTTTGCTTATGTGGTGCTGAGGAATCAAACCCAGGTCCTCAGGCATGCAAGGCAAGTGCTCTACCACTGAGCCACCTTCCCAGCCCCCTTAGCACAGTCTTAACGCTGTTCTATACATCTGAATGGCCCAGGGCAAGCCCAGATGTTCTCTTCACCAAGGCACTGACAGTTCACCAAGTTACCAGATGGGTCCCATCCCTTATGGAGCTTCCATTCTGGGGGTAAAGGAAAAGACAATAGAATAAGTAAGAGAAAAAATTATGATTACAAGTGAGTGTGCCATGGAGAAAAAAATAAATCAGAGAAGGTGGATTGGAAAGGGATTACAATTATAATCAAGCAATGAAAATCCCTTGCAAGAAGCTAATGTTTGAACAGCACTGAAAGAAGTGGAGGAAGCACAGAGATAGTTTTTAAACAGTTTGTATGTGAAGGAAATAGAAATGTGCAGTAGCCTGAGCAGGAAGTAGAGTCCACAGAGAGGAGGAATACCAGCATATTTGTTTGCAGAAAGGAACAATCCAGAAATGATGGGTGAATTTCTGGAGAGATGACGTTGAACAGGTTAGTGATGATGGAACTTAGTGTCCTTTAGGACCATATAGACCGTTCATCATGGGTAAGGAGAGATGTTGTGCATGCTTCTGAAAGTTCTCTAGTTATTCTTTCTGTTTACTCAGTGTTCAAGGAGGCAAAGCCAGTAAGGGGGATGGGGTTATGTAACATGTATTAATTCTTCTGTATGTTAGCATCTGCTGTAAGTGGGACCATGTGACAAGGTCCGAGCCACTAGTCTGGATAAGCTGCTGAACTATTCGAGATCAGCAGGAGCTAAGAGAACAGCTGGATGGTTGCCTCTGCTTCTGGCCACACATGGCCATCACAGGCAGCCACACCACAGTAGCAGCTGTCTGGCAACAATTTGAGGTCTCTGGGAGAAATTCAGTTGTCTCTTCAAGACTTTATGGTAACAATTATGAAAATAGAGCACATCCTGCCTTATATTAATACCAGGTAATAGTTTAACACCTTAAGATAGAATCAGGTAATAATTTAACAGCAATTAATTATCAGGTAGCTTTCTAGTAATGAAAGTTAACTGGGAATAAAGCCACACAGGAATGGAGTGTTGATTTTTGGCTCAGATCACATGACAGCAGGAGAATGAGGGCGTTTTATATACAAGTTACGCAGAAATCAAACTATTTTTAGTATGGGGAGAAAGAGATAAAAACACAGCAGATAAAGCATGCAAACAAAAAAAGGGAGAGCGGGATTCACGGAGATCCCATGGTCTTGTCTTTGTGTAGGCTGGTGTAGTCAGTCAATATTAAGAGAGAGGTGGTGATCCAACACTGGTTTGTACTAGGTTTTCTCATTCCAAAAAGGTAAAACTTCAAAAGCCCTTCATGGACATTGTAACTACACTATATACCTAAAATACATGTCTAGCAAACCATACAATTTGTCTCAAAAGAATAATCTACCCAGGCAGAAAGCAGAAATGGTAGAGATCATAGAAAAGTGTCCCTGAATTGTGATTCCATGGTGCACTGAAATGGTAATTTGAATTAAAAATTTGGCTCATTTTAGCTTCAGCCTAATGGATTCTAGTCCTAAATATCTTTGGTGATTTTTCTCTTTGGTAAGAATGAAGTAAGATGAGGAATAGGGTTGTGTTCTTATCTTAAAAATGCTTTATAGGTTGGGTGGGACTTTTTGGTATTATTTGGTTTTTAAATTTTTCTTTTTGGTGGTATTGGACTTTGAACGTAGGGCCTCACACGGGCTAGATAGTAGGCCACAGACTACAAAGCAACACTTGGGCCAAGACTTGTCCCTGTGACTTTAAGGAATTGGATTGATGGACTTGTGGTTTTTGTGTTCAATTTCATGGCCAGGAGAGTCTGAATAGAGGAGAGAGGAGGAAAGGTAGGACTTTGACACAAAATGAGCCCATATACACCCATGCTGTGTTGCAACCATGCCATATTGCAAGGTTTTACTTCACCTGTGTATTTGGAATTTTGCTGTGCTCTCAGAGCTATTTTCTTGCATTTGGTCTAACCCCTGTGATTTGCACTGTATTCTACAGTCCTGGAGTTCTGAGATTAACCTACCATAAAGAATAGTGGAAGAAAGCCAGACACCAGTGGCTCACGCCTATAATCCTAGCTACTCAGGAGGCTGAGATCTAAGGATCAGGGCTCAAAGCAATCCCAGGCAGGAATGTCTCTGAGACTCTTATCTCTGACTAACAACCAGAAAACCAGAAGTAGCACTGTGGCTCAAAGTGGTAAGAGTACTAGCCTTGAGCAAAAGAGCTCAGAGACAGTGCCCAGGTCCTGAGTTCAAGCCCCATGACCAACAAACAAACAAAAAGAATAGCAGCAGGGGTGCCTGATCAAGAGACACTGGACACATAAATACACGTGTTAAATTGTAACTTCTTGCACAACCATTTGAAGATTTAAAGAAATTATTTTTTTAAGTTCTGGGACAAAAAATAACAACATGATGTTCTCCAAGCAATTCCTTGTGAGTGGTGGATTTTTTTTCCCTTCTTCACTGGAGAAGCAAAAGGCAATTCATTTGTTCTCTACTCAGGCAGATAAGTTCTGGATGTGCCATTATTGCACTGCGCAGACCCTGAAGAACAGAACTGATTGGACAGAGCAGTTGCAAGTGAAATTTCCTAAGATGAAAAAACAAATACAACAAATAAGTAGACAAGATATACTATAAAAGAAATACATTATACAGTGTCATGTGCATGAGATGTTTGCTTCAACTAAGTAAGTGCCACAAGATGACACTTGCTAACGGGTTCATGTTCTCCAATATTATGAGTTCTCAAAAAAAGTTAAAAAATTGAAAACTGATGTCTGGAATTAACATTATTTCTATAAAATACAGCATTTATACATACTAAAAGAGAATATACAAAGGGCCCAAATATATTTTTCATGCCACTACAAATTTAGCATTGTATATAAAAATAATAAATATTAGTATTATATAGACCTATTATAATAAAAATACAGGCTTAACATGAGGGAATTGTGTGTTATTTCAAGACCAAAACACAAAAAGATGCAGCAAGATTATAATAATATT